TTGAAGACAAATCTATAAATACTCTCACTTTTGAAGAGAAAAGCATGCAATTCAAATATTTCCCTCTCAAATATCTATTTTCCCTCTTATTCCAAGTTTGAGCATCGAAACCAGAGAGCTTAGGAGGAGAAAATCATAGTTAGGTAACAGGATTTGTTGATCCGATTTCTACCATCAACATAGGTATTGTTTAGCAAATACTGTTGGCAATATTGTATAGTGAAATGGTTGTTTGATTGAATGAAAAGTAATATTTAAGTTTAATTCTTAGGAACGTAATTAAACTCTATGAAAATAGAAGCAAAAAAGAAAATAAAGAAAATGTGAATAATGAAATCCAAGGTAAGTGATTAACACTTTCTCTTTAAGACAAAATTGCCTCGCAACGATACTAACGGATTACAACACTTGTCTTCCAAACTGCCACGGATCCAACTCGTTGTCAAACTACTTCAAACCACAAGCAATAATGAAATCGAGCGAATTTCTTCCCTCTACAAGAAAATTATTTTTGTAGATTTTTTCAAGAATTTTTGATATAATGCTCAATACAAATGATATGAGATATATAATGGACATCCAAAGAGTCCTACTTATAGAAGATAAGAGGTTGTGAATGAAGTGTTACATTTCAAACTCAGCAACCTTTACGAAGAGAAACTGTCCTTGCTGTCGCTAGCTTCGCTCGAGTGATAGTGACATTTGTTCATTAGAAACTTTTCGCCTACCTATCGCTCTAGAGCTGGGTGAGCGGTGGAGTTAGGCAAATTTCCCGGCCAGTTTTTTCCTCTTTTCCATCCAACTTTGGACGGTAATTACTCGTTCATCTAGAATTGATTTTGAAATTCCAAATATACCACGACGATCTTCGTAATGAATAGAACAAGTTAGCATATTTATATTTATAATTTGACTATCGGATCAAATCCGAATATTTGGTCGAATTTGACACAAAGTCACTTTTGAAGTTTTATGCTTAACCAAAATTTTCAATCTTCAAACCAAATTCCAACAAATACTTTTTTTGTTCATTCATAATTTTAGAAACAACATCTTGTTTATGTTTTCAGGTTATGAAGTCATTAATCAGGTCAGTGAATGTGAACGAGAAGAACTTAGAAGGTAAGACGGCATTGGATATCCTAAAACCTGAAAATGTTGAAGCAAGGGAAATTTTAATGAGAGCAGGAGCTAGAGATGGTTCATCACTTGTCGATGATTCTACAACTACTGAAAATTACTTGAAGTCATATTTAACTCGGAAAGATCTTATTATCAAATTTGGTGCTTACCTGGATTTCGGTATGTCAGGGAATATGCGAAACACTATCCTAGTAGCAGTTGTTCTTGTTGCAACTGCTGCATTTCAAGCCGCTCTCACTCCCCCTTTAGGGATTTCTGACATTGATACCACTCCCGTTTTTCCCAGCATCACTTCTGTCTATAATGCTACTACTTCAACCAATTCCACTAGCACCAACTTCTACAACAAAACCACAAGAATTGCAAAAATAAATATATTTTTCAACACACTCGCCTTTGGACTTGCAATGGGAACGTGTTTTATACTTACGCTCGATCCACTCCAGTTGTTTCTCTTCCTACCTCTTTTGCTATTTTCGGCAAGCTATGCAGCTTTGGCATATGGAATATACCCAGGTACAGAAGCTTTTTTTCTTCCGTTTGCGGTGGGGTCATTAATCCTACTGCCTTTCTCGACGATAATTCCCTGGAAGATGATAGTACTCAAAGAGGTGGAGAAAACTATTCCAACTACAACCTTGACGAGGTGAAGTATCTCATATTTGGTAACATTTATGTGCATCATTTAGGAAACCCACTGACGAGGATGGCTAAAAGGAAAGCATCTAGATGAAGGTAGAGCATCAAATATTCTGTCATGCCTCACAATCAACATTGCAAAAAAAGCACAGATGGAAGGCCAAGGAAAATAATGTGTAGATTAAGCTTACAAAAATGAGTACAAGGATTTGCAGTGGTTGACAAAGAAAAAATAAAATGGTCTCTTATTAGATTACTAGTTTGATGCACGTGCGATGCACGTGCTTGTTGTGTAGTTGGCTACTGAATAACGTCTTGGTTTTGAAAAAAAAAAAAAGGTTATGTACTCGTATTCATTTGACAATGATGTAAAAAGTTTATGTAATTTGGTTGGTACACTTCCCTTGTAGATAACAAAAACATTTGCTGTCATTTTCAATTTATTTTGCATTGCAGTACCTGCAAATCATTGGGATGTTAAGACATGAGAACTTACTCAGAAGCCAAATATGGAAAACAAATACTTGAGTTCAACTCCAGCAAACAGATAATAAGCATAGAGATGAGCAAAATTTGAACAAAGTCTCAAGCTACAAAGGTAAATTAATATTAACATTCCCTGGTGCTAAACATGTCCAACATTTTTACTACAAAATATAGGCAAATTCAAACTTCAAACCAACATGTTTTCTCCAAAATACAGGGAAATTCAAAC